TGCTAAATGTAATTGTTGTGCAGATGACAATAAACCCTTGAATCTTGAATATATCAATATATCTACATGTTTATATATTTGATTTATTTGGCAGTGATTCCTTTAGTGTCTTTATAAAAACCCTTCTGACAAATAAATGCACTTGAGGTTTTATTTTTTCAAGTTTAATCAGAAACATTATTGTAGACAACAATCAATATTACACATAAACACACATGTACAAGTTTTCTTTCTGTAAAATATACACATACGTTCACACCTTTTCAAAACACATTTTTGGACATAACTTAAAAATACAGATACTAATTATGATAGAAATGTTCACGCAAAGTACGATTTACCATTTGACCCTTACTTTCTGTTTAAATACAACTTTTTCTTTGTCTAACAGTTGCACTAAACACTGACGTTGGTTCTATTCAGAGTCCCATGAGTATTTCCTGGTACGGCTGCTTCTGCTCAAAGCAGCCAACATCCCCACTATTGGAAACAACTAGTCTTCCTATTGTAATGCAAGCATGAGCAACAGCAGGGAGGAAAAACCCCCAGGTAGAAGAAACCTGAGGCAGAACCTGGGCTCGGTGTGGACGGCATCTGCCAGTGAGTTGAGAAAAAAATAGGGGAACAAAAGGAATGAAAGGGGGGGTTGAGTCACAGCCTCAGGTCATGGGCTTGAATCCAGCCTGGAAATCTCCACGTGGACGTTGGCATGGTCTTCCAAGGGCGCCTCCCTCATGGTCCAACATGCACAGCAGGTGGACCCATGGCTCCAGATGGTCCTCAGGTGAGAGTGCTGGTGGTTGCGTGACCCTCCATGTCAGCCCTGCGACAGACCGGCGACCTCCACTAGGTCCATCCCTCATCAGGACCCGAGCCCGGACGACCTCCGGAGAGCCGCACAGCATGGACCAAGGAGGGGAGGAGACCCAAGGAATTAGAGACATGTAATAAGGTACAACAAAATAAACAAGGCAGAGAATGAAGAAGAGAGAAGGTGCTGGTTTCTGGTGCCTGATGGGTGATCCCCCAGCAGTCTAGGCCTATAGCAGCATAACTATGGATGACTATGGCTCAGGGTTGAGCTAAAAGCTTTATCAAATAAGAAGGTTGTAAGTCTTGCCTTAAATGTAGAGACCGTGTCTGCCTCCCTCACTGAGAGTGGGAGCTGGTTCCACAGGAGAGGAGCTTGGTGACTAAAGTTCTACCACACATTCTACTCTTAGTAACTTAAGGCACATACAGATACAGAATTGACTGGATCTGTAGGTATGGCAGTGCAACAACAGAAGAAAAACAGTCGTGCAATCAACATTGGTGCAAAAAAACAAGAGCTTATTGACTGGTCAAAAAAAGTGAAAACAGCTATATGTGCAAAATAGTTTGTGGGAATGTTAGAGTTCAGTGTTGATGGGGAGGGGACAGTGACTGTGTGTTTAGGTAGAAGAAAAGAGGAAGGAAGGGTGGGGGGGATGCAGAGTCCGTGTGTCAGGGAGGTGGGGGAAGGGGGGTGAGGGGGGATGCAGAGTCCGTGTGTCAGGGGGGTTGGCAGCAGAGTCTGTGTGTGAGGGGGAGAAGGGGGGGGGGCAGCACAGAGAGG